CATCTCCCTCTTCCTTACCAGTCCAGGGAGTATTTCCTTAAGAAATTATGTGCATACAAATCAGGCTCTGCTTCTGGGTCACCCACCCTAAGACAACACGTAAGTAATATTTGAAGCCATAAGTCTAGATGAGCTATCTATAAGATTAGCAAGGGGCTTGGTATTCATAGTTATTCTCTATATTTAGCATTTTAAGACATTTGATTTTTTTTAAATTTTGCATTCCTTTTTAAAATTTTGGAACCAAGGCAATTCTGAATGTTGCTAAGTATAAAGTCTGCCCTTGCACTGATGAATTATGGAGCAAATATTCAAGATTCTGTCAGAGTCGGATTTTCTAACCAGGTTAACATCCCCTTGATAACATATTGGCTTCTGGATGCAAATATAAAAATAAATAGAGGGATGGGAGTGTGTGAGACCGTGTGCAAGTGTGTGAGTGTGTGTGTGTGCAGACACTTCTGTTGAGGCAGGAATAAAGGAGTCCTATGCATGTTATTGGCCATCAGACCAGGTGAGAAACAGCCCCATGGAACTAGAGAACACATTCCAGATTCTGGAATGTTTTGCACAAAATCTAAGAGTAATATGGTAAAGCTCCAAAAAGAAAAAATGACCACAAATAGACATCATTCAAAAATATTTATTTTAGGTCATTTACTATATAACTGTCAATGCACATGTAGGATGAACTTATCAGACATGATTCTGCCCTCTCTGCCCTTAAAAGTTTATAGGCTGATGAGGGGAGGAGAGATAGGCATTAAATAATTACCTAGATAATCCTTTACTTGTTATTTGTGTTTGAAAGAAAAAGTACAAGGCATTCTTAGGGTAAATGACTGGGGACTAACTCTCTGGGTTAGTAACTGGGGAAAACACTCTTTGGCTTGTCCAGACTCTGAGCCCATCGCCAGGCTCTGAGCTCCCAGAGCAGAGACTGTGTCTTGCTCGCCCTCCATCACAATGCTAGATTTGTGGCACTTTAAAATGTTTGTTGAATGGATGCATGAGGTTACTAGTGAGGATGAGAATAAGGGCTGTGGTAAAGGAGACCTAGGAGAAGTTGAAGCCAGATCATGGAAGACTTAAGTATCATTTGAAAAAGTTTGGACTTCATCATGTGGGACATGGGGGGGCCACTAAAAGTGTCTGAGCCAGATTGATGTGATTAGAGCTGTGTTCATGAAGGCAACTCTGGAGAGGCTGGGGCAGGGGGTCAGCTGGGAAGTCGCTTAGATTGGTGGTAGCAGAAAGGGATGGGAAGGAGGGAACAGCGACAAGGGGATGATTGGCTGCATCAGACCCTGAGAACTCATTTCAAGTGAGAGATTTGCTCTGGGGCATTTGCCACCAGAGGCTGCAGTTCACATAAACTCTCTGTAACATTTCCTAAGAATTCTCCAGAGGCTCATGAGTTTTCTAGTTAGGTAATTAAGAAATAGTTATGTTCTCAAGAGGATAGCTGAATGCCCTAGATAATTTCTCCAATTTCGATTTAGCAAATGGGTGGGATAACTATGCCATCCTTCCTTTTTGACTGATGCCCACTTCCTTCAGACTAAACAACCATTCAGTCACACTGCAGCAACATCAGTCACCGATGACGTCTTTAGAAGCTTCACTGTGTCAGCTCCTGGATTTGGGCTTCCCTTTATGAACTAGAGTTTATGGTTCATTTTATTGCTCTATCTCCTACTCGCTGTAATTGCCATTACTGTAGATGATACCGTGGGTTTGTTTGTTCATTAAAAGTAAATAAGTCTGAAAGAAAAGGGAGCATACCAAAACTTATGCTGTATTGCAAATTTTATATCAGAAGTCAGGAATGAGAAAATTTAAGGTTCTCCAGGCACTCGAATGTTTATTTCTCTGCCCTACATATGTTTCAAAAGATATTTCAAATCTGATCCTGAATCCGAACTAATCATCCATAAGGTGGGTGGGTTAGCATGAGCATAATTTATCTTCTGGTTTGTTAATTTCATAAACAATATTTATGATTAATTATTCTGTGCACTCCTGAACATTTATGAGGGTCTATTATGTGCCAAACTCTTCCATATTTTATATCTTTATGTACCTAAAGCTTTCATCTTCACACAACTCCTGCAAGGTGCTGTGTTATTATCTCTATTTACAGTTGAAGCAACAGGCTCAGAGTGGTTCAGTGACTTGCCTGAGGCTACACAGCTCATCGGTGATGGAGCCTGTTGGAAATTGGAGTTACCTTGGCTCCAAGCCCCACTCCACTATCCTGCCTTTCTCTAAGATTGAACCAGAGCTCCACAACTCAGCAAAAAGGTTGAAAGTCTTCTCTAACGTAGGCGGATAAAATGAAAGCTGTCTTTCATGCTGCCCTGTCATCAAAGCCGAGAGCAAGCCTCAGTAAGTTTACCAGTTTGAGTGAGCAAAACAACCCGATTCCCAACAGCAAGCAGGCATGACCACTGTTGAGAAACATTAAGTTTACCCTGCCCCCATGGTTCTCTTGTGGAAGATACTTTTAGTTTGTAATTAGTGGTAGGCGGGTAACAGCTGCCTACCTAGTATATTTGTATATGTAGATCACCTGTGTATTAATAAGAATCACGTGTCAAAGAGCAAATAAACACATGGATGACTCTCTGCTCAGGGGTTTTCAGTCTGGAGAGCTGTCAGCCCCACAGTCTCTCAGGCTGTTGGTCCCCAGGATAGATTCACTCTGTTGTGCTGTTTCGGTATCTGCCTCTCAAATGCCTTCAGCGCCATCTGGGTGGGGGTATCCCAACTGAGCTGGTTCTTGGTAAGAGGTGCCCAAATGTGGAGACTAAAACCCAGGATGAAGGATTGCCTGAACAATGGAAAAAGAGGCTAAGCTGAAGGTATCTCTGCAATGTTTGAAAAGAATCCCCCAGGTGAGTTAGGGGGAGCCAGAAGGAGCCCAGGGGGAGACTCCTGGGTGAATTAGGGAGAACCCAGAAGTGGCCCAAATACTACTGGAAAAAATCCCTGGGGTAAGTTGGGGAGCTCAGAAGGAGCCCAAGGGAGACTCCCAGGGTGAATTAGGGAGAACCTTGAAGTAGACCAAGAATGTTTGAAAAAATCTCCCAGGGTTAGTTGGGGGAGCTCGGAATTGGCGCAAGAACATTTGAAAAAAATCTCCCAGGGTGGCAGCTGGGGGAACTCGGTCATATTGGGGTAACATCAGCCAAAGATCAAGCAAACACAGGGCTTATTTTGTGTGGTCCATTTGGACTTTGGTGTGTTTTGCCCTGGAGCTGTTTCAGACATAAGGTGAGGAAAAGGATTCAGGAGAAAATTCAGGAGAAGAGAAGGAGTGTGATTAAGTATGTAAAGAAATCATGGAGCAAAAAGATGAAAAGTCAAATGAGGAAAAGGTGTGCCCATCAGCCCTGCTCAGTATCTTGTAGAGAGATGGTCAGAGCCTCCCCAATATTTCTACTGCTGCTTCTGTTGGCGTGTGTGCTCCTAGAACTATGGTAACCAGTTCAGGTGCTTGTACTCCTATATCTATGGTAACCAGTTCTATCCAAGCTGGGATTCAACAAGAGGGAAATGAG